CAATCATTAATCCACCCCTATTTCTTCCATTTTTAAAAAAATGTAATGAGATAGCATACACACTTGCATTAGCCCCTCCCCCTTTTCATAAATAAAACATAGTATCCCTCCGCCTTTTCATAAGTAAGACATAGTATGCATACTTTCTGTCCTTTTTTACAGGACAGTATGTCCTCGGGAGCACTGTATAGCAGTAAATACAGACATTTCTTCATGCCTTTTATAAATACTGTACATTTTGGGGTATATTATAGTTTATTCAGTCATTCCCCCATAGGTTGTATCCAGTCCTTTGCTGTTAATAATGATACCATGAATAGCCCTGTATATATATTAAAGGAAATATTTAAAGTACAAAATTGGAGAAAACAATAGAAAAATATTTTTTCCTCTATGTTTAAACTTTGGGCTAAAAATGAAGGAATGGTTCTTATAGCAGGCCTAAGTAACTTACACCTTTTAGGTAATATTGAGAAGAGAATCTTAATCAAACTGCCTTTGTCTCATTGCAAATCCACATTTCTCTGTGTACATTAAGAAACAACATAAAATTGTATCATTTTAATAGTTGTAATTATATTTCAGAAGTGTTAAGTATATTCACATTGTTAAGAAACAGATCCCCAGAAATATTTTTTCCATAACTTTTTAAGTTGCAAAACTGTAACTATACTGTTAAGCAACAATTACCCTTTCCCCCAGTCCCTGGTAACCACTATTCTATTTTCTGTTTCTATGAATTTGACTAGTAGATACCTCATAAATGGAATCATACAGTATTTGTCTTTTTTACTTATTTCACTTGGCATAATGTTCTCAAAGTTCATCAATGTGACAGTATTCCTTTTTAAAGTCTGAATAATATTCCATTGTATGTATATATTATCTTTTGTTTATCCATTCTTTTGTCTATTGAAATTTTGGTTGCTTTCAGTTGTTGGCTATTCTGAATAGTGCTGCTCTGAACTTAGGTGTGTAAATAATCTTTGAGACTGCTTTTTTTTTTTTTTCAGAAAGAATTGTAGAAGCAATATCTTTCTTTAGCAGCTTCAGATATTATTGATATGTACCTCGAAGTGGAATTACTAGGTCATAACGGTACTTCTGTTGTTTAAGTTTTTGAGGAACCTTCCTATTGTTTTTCATAGTGGTTGCACATTTTATAATCCTACCAACATGTACAAGGTCTCCAATTTCTGACATCCTCAACAACATTTGTTATTTTCTGTTTCTTTCTTTTGTGTTTTGTTTATAGTATCCATTCTGATGGGTATGAGGTGACACCTTATTATGGTTTTGATTTGCATTTCTCTGATCAGTGGTATGACTGACTGTCTTAATGTGCTTTGGCCATTTGTATATCATCTTTGAAAAAAAGTCTATTCAAGTCCTTTTCCCATTTTTTAATCAGGCTGCAAATCTAGATTTCTTACCATAACCTGGTATTTTTGCTATAGGAGTATATTTAACGTAAAGAAAATAAGAAAAACAATTGTGTTACTCTAAAATGGGACTGATAAGAATAGGTATGAACTGAATATTTTGTAATTCTTTTCTTACAGGGCTATTTAGAAACCAAAACATACTAAGAGAATATGGAGACTTCCTGGGAAATACTAAGGTAAGGATATCTTTATGATAATGTTATATATGTATATGTTGCACAGTGAAATCCTAGTATCAGTCCATTGTGGGATTCTGGCATGTACTATGATTCTAATTCAAGATCTTGATCACCTTGTAATTTACTGAATCACAATCTATTTATTTCTGTCAGATTTTCTTTAAAAATTTAGAAATTGGGAATGATGACATTTCTAGTCATACCTTACTTGATATGTTTTTCTTTTCCATTCATTGTATTCAGAACTTCTCCATTTCCTCTCTGAGTCCTTTGTTTCTGGCACCCCAGTGTTGCACTGAAGGTATGGTCCATCCTTCAATGGTGGAGCTTTGTTTGTCTTGCAAGCCAGCATTTCCACCTTTGTGTCATGAGAGCTGCTGCCACTGGCTCTGTGGAATAATTTAGACTGGTGAGACAGCCTCCTGGGAGGATTTACTCTCAGCCCGTACTTATGTCTGTTGCACATGGAGGATCATCATCACCAGAATTTTGAATAGTAACTGTTGATTTCTGAAATCTACATCACTAGAGGTCTTTTGAAGATTAATGCACATCAGCCTTGATATGTTCTGGGTTTGGAACAGAATTACTTTCTATTACATTGTTTTTTTGTTGTAGTAGGATTAGTACTTAATTTCTCTCTACTGTTCTCATATTCCTGATAGGAGCACTTGATCTCCAATGGAAGATTGCTCCTTTCCTTCTCTAAAACATACAGAGCTAGACCTATTTGCCAGAATTCTCTTTTTGTTCTATCTGACCCATACACTTGTTTGTTTATTCTGTTTGTCTTATGCTTATGTGAACTCCAGTAGTGAGATGTATATAGATTCATCATATTCTTTTTTTTAAATTGAAATACCATTGATATACAGTCACTTATATCAGTTTCAAATATACAACACAGTGGTTCAACAGTTACCCATATTATTAAATCCTCACCCCTCTAGTGCAGTTACTGTTAAAGTAAAAGATGTTACAGAATCATTGGCTATATTCTCCATGCTGCACTACCATCCCCATGACCAACTTATGTGATTGTGAATTATTGGTGATTGAGAAGTTTTGTGTCCCTTTATCCTCCCATCCTCCTACCCCTCCCCCATGGTTGCCTCTCAGTGTCTGAGTCTACCACTGTTTTCTTCATTATGTCGTATTTTGTTTTATGTTCCACAAGTAAGTGAAATCATATGGTGTTTGTCTTTCTCACTTAGCTCATTTCACTTGGCATAACACCCTCTAGGTCCATCCATGTTGTTACAAATGGCAGGATTTCTTTTTTTATGGCTGAATACTATTCCATTGTGTGTAATTACACATCTTCTTTATCCATTCATCCATTGATGGCCACTTAGTATGCTTCCATATCTTGGCTATTGTACATAATGCAATGATAAACATAGGGATACATATATCCTTTTGAATCAGGGATTTTGTTTTCTTTGGATAAATTCCTAGAAGTAGAATTACTGGGTCAAATGATATTTCTGTTTTAAGTTTTTTGAGGAACTTCCATACTGCTCTCCACAGTGGCTACATCAATTTGCATTCCCACCAACAGTGTAGGAGGGTTTCCTTTTCTCCACATCCTCATCAACATCTCTTGTTTCTTGTCTTTTGAATAGTGGCCATTCTAGCTGCTGTGAGGTGGTATTTCATTGTGGTTTTCATTTGCATTTCCCTGATGATTAGTAGGCACTTTTATATTTAAAGCCATTAGCAGGTCCCATTGTATTTTCTCCAAAATAGACACCTAGTCTAAACCATCACCATCTCTGACCCGGGATTCCTTCCTAATTGATTGCTCCACCTTTGCTTTTGCCCCCATAATTCATTCTCTATATCATAAACTATACCTTCTTAAAACATAAATCAGACTATGTCAAGTATCTGCTTAAAATCATACAATGCTTTCTTTTTTTGTTTTTGTTTTTTGCCATTAGATTAAAAATCACACTTTTTACTATAATCTGCAAAGTCCTATGGGATATGGGCCCTGCCTTCTTTTCTGGTCTCAGCTTCTACTGTTTTCCTTATTCTTTATGCTTTTAGTCACACCAAGCTTATTTTTGTCCTTTCTATATACTAAACTTCTGTTCCCAAATCCTGAAGTATGCTGCATGCTTTGCCTAAAACCATTTTTTCAGATTTTTTCATGGCTGCTATCTTCTCATCCCTGACTACTCTAACTAAAATAACCCTTCCTATCATACACCCCACCCCACCACAAATACACATGTGTACGTGAGCACAAATAGACTATTCTTTCATCTCTCTGTTATATTTTCCATATTATAGTGCTCACTATATAAAATTATGTATTAGTTTATGGATTTATTCTGTATCTTCTTATACCAGACTGTGAGATCTATGAAGGCAGGGACTTTTGTTTACTGTCTTGTCCCAACATGTAGAACTGTGCCAAGCATATATAGTAGTTGCACAATAAATATTGCTTGAATAAATGACACAAGACACATGACAGTATATATGGGGTGCTTTAATAGAAATATAAAGTGCAATAATAGATATGTAACAGAGTATTTATTCTCTGGAGGGGACCAAGGAAAGCTTTACATAAAAATGTCACATTTGGCCTAACATGGAAGAGGACAAGTAAAACTTAGAATCAGAGGAAAAGATAGCATTCCAGGGAGAGGAAAGAGCAAGAGAAAAAACAGGAAGTATACATTGAAGGAACAGAAAAAGAACATTTAACTTGAGAAAAATATTTCCCTGAATATGTTTTTTCACTTTTTTTTTTTTCCATTTCTTTTGACCTGTTTTGGAATTAAATACATTATCACTTGAAGTCTTCAGTATTTAGAAAGTAGTAAGGAGTTAAATTAGAGGAGCAAACTTGGCTTTGGCTGTTCCTTGTTGAAAAGTTGCTCAGTAAATGGAAAATTTTATAGTATTTTTATTTTTAGTTCAATATATTTTTATAACTTTATCCTTTAGTTTCTGTGTAACCTGACTCACCTCCTTTTTAGAAGTATGCAAGACATGAATTACTAGGAAACAAAATAAAATTTGGAAAAGGACCCAGGTACACTTTTAATTTCTTTCTTCTATTCTCCCTTATTAAAGAGAAAATTCTGGAGAAAAAATACTTAACAAACAAACCTAGTTCAGAGGTTTTGATAGAGGAGATATTTTCTGGTGTGTCAGTCACTTAAAAACATTATACTGCCTCTTGGGGAAACTTTATAGAGTTTTTTTTGTTTCTGTTTTTGTTTCTTTTTATAGCCACGCTCCAGAACATCAGTTTTTTTTAAGGGGCCAGGAAAAGTGGTGATGGTTGCCATTTGTATGTAAGTACTGAAAAATAGCCTTTTAAAATTGAAATGTATAATTTTTAATGTATATATACTTGAATGTTTGAATTTTTAGTTGTGATCTAGATAAAGAATTAAGAGGGTTACATTGTTTTAGAAGGACATTGAATAAATCTTAGTTATTGTCAATAAAATGATGGGGGGATAATCCACATAGATACCCACGCTTATGTTGTGGTTAAGGTGTAAGAATAGTTGCTATCTGAAAATTCTCTTATTTTCATTGAAGTTGATAGAAGTCTTTTTTAAAAATATGAATTGGTACAGATTATTTTTAGAGTAACTAAACCAACCTGGGTTACAGCTGCTGAAGAGTATCTGTCCTCTTGTTTTTCTCCCATTTACCTTGGAAGAACATAACTGATGTTTTTGCCTTTCTTCTTGATTCCTTTTATTTATCTTTTTTCCATTTTTAAACATCTAAGATGTTTAAAATCATTTATTCCAAGTTTCATTAGATACTTCTAAAATATAAATATATTTATATTTTTCATACTCATATATATAAACTGTCAGAATTGTGACCAGTTCTGAAAATACAAAGACATAATACATAAATCTTACCTTCAAGGATTGGAGGGGCACTAGACTGGAGGTAGTCATTTATAGTAATATAGAAAAGATGATGATGATGCGCTAAACTAAGATGGTGGTGGTAGGGATGGAAAGACATTTTTAGGTTCAGGAAGTATTTAGAGGTATGGTCAAGGATGGTGCCCAGGTATCTTGATTTGGACAATTGGATAGATGATGCTTCATCACAGAGAAGGAGCACTTGAAAGAAGGTAGCAGAAATGAGGAGTTCATTTTTGAGTTTGAGTTATCTACCTGTAGGACAGGATTCGCTCTTTTCATCAGTGAAACTGGGTTTGCAATTAAAGCTTTCTTCACCAGAGGAATATGTGTAAATTGCCTACTGTAATATCTGGTACATAATATGTACTTAATTATTGTTAATATATATTGGTCTGAAATTCATGAGGGAGACCTGGATTAGAGAGTTAGAGGTGATAGTTATTAGTATGTTGATGATAATTAAAACCAAAGAGGTAGTAAAGATCATCTGGAAAATTGGTATATAGTGTGAGGAAGAAATAGTCTCCAGAAAAACCTTGAAGAATACTAACATTTAAGAAATTAGTGGAGGAAAGAGCTTGCAGAGGAGACTGAGGAAGAGTAAGGAGCAAGAAATGAAGTCAAGAAAACCAACAATGAGGAAGAAAACTAGGGATACCGTAAGCCAAGGAAGGTAATGTTTTAAGAAAACAGTGGCAAATGCTTCTGTGAGATTAAAGAAACTACTAAAACGTTTCTAGAAATTTATTTATTCATTTATTTGTGGAGCTTAAAAATTTTTTTTTATTACAATAAAAAATACATAAAATTTACCATTTAAACAATTTTAAGTGTACAGTTCACTGGTATTTCTTTTATTTTGGTATCACTAATATACAATTACATGGGAAACATTGTGGTTACTAGATTCCACCCATTATCAAGTCCCCACCACATACCCCATTACAGTCACTGTCAATCAGTGCAGTAAGATGCTATAGAGTCACTACTTGTCTTCTCTGTGCTATACTGCCTTCCCCAGGCCCCTGCACATTATGTGTTCTAAGTGTAATGCCCTTTATTCCTCTTATCCGTCCCTTCCCACCCATCCTCCCCAGTCCCTTCCCCTTTGGTAACTGTTAGTCCATTCTTGGCTTCTGTGAGTCTGCTGCTGTTTTGTTCCTTCAGTTTTTTCTTTGTTATTATATTCCACAGATGACTGAAATCATTTGGTACTTGTCTTTCTCTGCCTGGCTTATTTCACTGAGCATAATACCCTCTAGCTCCATCCATATTGTTGCAAATGGTAGGATTTGTTTTCTTCTTATGGCTGAATAATATTCTATTGTGTATATGTACCATGTGTATATTCTTTATCCATTCATCTACTGATGGACACTTAGGTTGCTTCCATTTCTTGGCTATTGTAAATAGTGCTGCAATAAACATAGGGGTGCATATGTCTTTTTCAAACTGGGCTCCTGCATTCTTAGGGTAAATTCCTAGGGGTGGAATTCCTGGGTCAAATGGTATTTCTATTTTTAGTTTTTTGAGGAACCTTCGTACTGTTTTCCACAATGGTTGAACTAGTTTACATTCCTAACAGCAGTGTAGGAGGATTCCCCTTTCTCCACATCCTCGCCAACATTTGTTGTTTGTCTTTTGAATGTTGGCCATCCTAACTGGTGTGAGGTAATATCTCATTGTGGTTTTAATTTGCATTTATCCGATGATTAGCAATGTGGAGCATCTTTTCATGTGTCTGTTGGCCATGTGAATTTCTTCTTTGGAGAACTGTCTGTTCAGCTCCTCTCCCCATTTTTTAATTGGATTATTTGCTTTCTGTTTGTTGAGGTGCATGAGCTCTTTGTGTATTTTGGATGTCAGCCGCTTATCGGATATGGCATTTATGAATATATACTCCCATACTGTACGATGCCTTTTTGTTCTACTGATGGTATCCTTTGCTGTACAGAAGCTTTTTAGTTTGATATAGTTGCACTTGTTCATTTTTGCTTTTGTATCGCTTGCCTGTGGAGATATGTTCATGAAGAAGTTGTTCATGTTTATATTCAAGAGACTTTGGCCTATGTTTTCTTCTAAGAGTTTTATGGTTTCATGACTTACATTCAGGTATTTGATCCATTTCAAGTTTACTTTTGTATATAGAGTTAGACAATAATCCAGTTTCATTCTCTTCCATGTAACTGTCCAGTTTTGCCAACACGAGCTGTTGAAGAGACTGTCATTTCCCCATTGTATATCAATGGCTCCTTTATCATATATTAATTGACCATATATGTTTGGGTTAATATCTGGACTTTCTATTCTGTTCCACTGATCTATGGCTCTGTTCTTGTGCCAGTACCAAATTGTCTTGATTCCTGTGGCTTTGGTGTAGAGCTTGAAGTTGGGAAGTGAGATCCCCCCTGCTTCATTCTTCCTTCTCAGGATTGCTTTGGCTGTTCGGAATCTTACTGTGGTTCCATATGAATTTTAGAACTATTTTTTCCAGTTTGTTGCAGAATGTTGTCGGTATTTTGATAGGGATTACATTGAATCTGTAGATTGCTTTAGGCAGGATGGCCATTTTGACAATATTAATTCTTCCTACCCAAGAACATGGGATGAATTTTCATTTGTTAGTGTCCTCTTTAATTTCTCTTAAGAGTGTCTTGTTGTTTTCAGGGTATAGGTCTTTTACTTCCTTGGTTAGGTTTATTCTTAGGTATTTTATTCTTTTTGATGCAATTGTGAATGGAATTGTTTTCCTGATTTCTCTTTCTGCTAGTTCATGGTTAGTATATAGGAATACAACAGCTTTCTGTGTATTAAGTTTGTATCCTGCAACTTTGCTGAATTCAGATATTAGTTCTAGTAGTTTTGGAGTGGATTCTTTAGGGTTTTTTATGTACAATATCATGTCATCTGCAAGGAGTAACAGTTTGACTTCTTCCTTACCAATCTGTATGCCTTTTATTTCTTTGTATTGTCTGATTGCTATCGCTAGGATCTCCAGTACTATGTTGAATAAAAGTGGTCAGCGTGGGCATCCTTGTCTTGTTCCTGATCTTAGGGTAAAAGCTTTCAGTTTCTTGCTGTTAAATATGATGTTGGCTGTGGGTTTGTCATATATGGCCTTTATTATGTTGAGGTACTTGCGCTCTATACCCATTTTGTTGAGAGTTTTTATCATGAATGGATGTTGAATTTTGTGAAGTGGTTTTTCAGCATCTATGGAAATGATCATGTGGTTTTTGTCTTTTTTGTTGATGTGGTGGATGATGTTGATGTATTTTTGAATGTTGTACCATCCTTGCATCCCTGGGATGAATCCCCCTTGATCATTGTGTATGATCCTCTTGATGTATTTTTGAATTCAGTTTGCTAATATTTCATTGAGTATTTTTACATCTATGTTCATCAGGGATATTGGTCTGTAATTTTCTTTTTTGGTGGTGTCTGCCTGGCTTTGGTATTAGAGTGATGCTGGCTTCGTAGAATGAGTTTGGAAGTATTCCCTCTTCTTCTATTTTTTGGAAAACTTTAAGGAGAATGGGTATTATATCCTGTCTAAATGTCTGATAAAATTCAATGGTGAATTCATCTGTTCTGGGTGTTTTGTTCTTGGGTAGTTTTTTGATTACTTGTTCAATTTCATTGCTGGTAATTGGTCTGTTTAGATTTTCTGTTTCTTCTTGGGTCAGTCTTGGAAGGTTGTTTTTTTCTAGAAAATTGTCCATTTCTTCTAGGTTATCCAGTTTTTTAGCATACAGTTTTTCATAGTATTCTCTAATAATTCTTTGTATTTCTGTGGTGTCCATCATGATTTTTCCGTTCTTATTTCTGTTTCTGTTTATGTATGTAGATTCTTTTTTTTTTCTTAATAAGTCTGGCTAGGGGTTTATCTATTTTGTTTATTTTCTCAAAGAACCAGCTCTTGGTTTCATTAATTTTTTCTGTTGTTTTATTCTTCCCAATTTTATTTATTTCCTCTCTGATCTGTATTATGTTCCTCCTTCTGTATTTCTAGGAATTTAATAGCAAAAAAACTTTTCATGGTATTGATAAGAATAATGAAGTATCTGAGACATAAACCATTGTTTAATGGATGAAAGACTTAGTGCCAAGTGATGAAAACTTAGACAGCGAGAGAAGATATGATTCTTTCAAGAAATTATCTTAGGTGGAGGACAGAGGAAAAGAGTAGCTAGAAGGAGATGTAGTTTCCTTGTTTATAAAATGAGGATGTTAATGTTTATGTAATAGTGATGGAGTTGTAATGAAGCACGGTTAGTGACTTGTGTAGCGCCTTAGGTAAATCATATCAATTATTACTGTTGCAATCTGAACAGTTAGTTTCCTCAGAACAAACCACGTTCATTTTAGCATCTGTGGTCTTGGAGTATGACTCGGACACTGCTTAGTCTATATTTGTCTTCACTACTGGCATCTACCTACTTAAGTAAACACTTCCACCAAAGTCTTGGCTTTGACACTGGCCTGCTGGACAATATATTAAGTGCAGATCCTCTTTCACCTACCTAAAACTCACAATTTCATTTCTGATTTTGTCCAAATGTAAAATACCCTCTCATATCATCATTTCTTAAAATGCACTTAGGTAAGTTGCTTACACATATCATGCCTCTTTATTGGAGTATTTAGTGATAACTTAATCTGTATTTTTCAAATTTGTATTCTTGTTACCCAAAACATAGTAAGTTCTTAAAGGTGTGGGACTCTCTTATTTACTTCGAAGAAAATCTAGTATAGAGGTATAGATTGCATAAGGTTTTGGTGGAAATTTTTATCCAAGTTTATGCTAAATTGTTTTCTTTGTTTCTCTCCTAGTAATGGATTAAACTGCTTCTTTAAATTTCTTGCCTGGATTTATACTGGTTCAGCAAGTATGTTCTCTGAAGCTATACATTCTTTATCTGATACTTGTAATCAGGTGAGGGGTAAAAGCTTTTTTCTTAATTTTAAAGTAGTTCTTTTAAGGCTTTAGTCCAGAAGTTTGACTTATTTAAAAACTGATTCCTATAGTTGGCTTGTGGAAGAAAATAAAAACTGTTTTACTTTTGAAAAATAAAGTGCATAGAAATATGATCATCGTATTTAAGTAGGTTGTTATAGTTTAAGTACTTATAATAATGGAATATGAAGTAAAAAGATTATTCACTGTGTTTAGGCAAAAGCTTTTGTACAAAAGATTCTTACGGTAGGTAGAAATTTGGTCTCTGTGAGCTCTTAGGACTGTAAGAACCAATGAATTTAAATTTCTTGAATAAAGATATTAAAGAATCACATGTGATTGATGAATTAAACTGATTTTCATGTTAGATTAGTATTTTTAATTCCTTAATATGCAAATGAAGATTTTTATAAAATTAATATACCTTTTTTAAACCCCCTTTAGTCCAAATTTTGAGTACTACAAACCTAAGCTGTTTAAAGAGCACAATAAAAGTTTATACTTGTATATCATTTCATATTTTAAAGAATGTGGTGTATTAAGGGAATGCCTTTTCAGTGTTTGTTTATTGTTGTGTTATATAAGAACAGATTTGGGAAAATTTACAGTAAGACACAGGTACAATAAAAATATTTAAGACAAAGTTAAAAATAATAAAGTGGTAAAGAGCAGGGAGAGCAATCTTAATTAAAAATTAAATCTGAGTACTCATCTAACTTACTGTCAAATTAATTAAAACCCTTTCTAAAAAGTAAGGAAGGAAGACAAACATTTGCTGTTGGTACTAGCAATCTTATTCTTTGATTAAATTTTTATACTCAGTAAATACTTAATAACTACTGTACTATGTATGTAATATATTGCCAGTGGGTCGTATGGAATGAGGTTGAGCTGGAATGGGGAGGAATATATAACCTATATAGTAACTGTTTTGTGAAAAGTTTATCTGAACATAAGAAAATTCAAATGCAAAAATATTTGTACTTATGGGGAAGGAGATATGTTCAGATTATTAGTTTCAGTATTAATTGTTATTTAAAACATTGAAGACAATGTTTAAGTGTCTGTACTCTGAAATACTATTCAGAGATTTAAAAGAATGAGGTAGATAGCTATATATACCTGGAATATGATAATTTGAGTAAAAAATAAGGTTACACAATATTATGTAAAGAACTTCTTTCAGCCATGATGGACTAATGGGGACTGGATTTAGTCTTTTACTGTAAACAACTAAAAAACTGGCAAAATAGATGAAACAGTGTTTTCAAAGACAAGGGAAACAAGTGAGTGAGAGAGAAGGGAAACAAATAAGTTGAACTCTATAATCTGTCTGGCTTTATGCTTAGAGGTAAATTTGGGATAGTGGAGCAAGGTAGCAGATAACAGTCTCATTGAGTTGAGAATGCAGAAGGTCTAAGGTGGCTAGAAGTTACAAGGTAGAGTTCCACAGAGGAGGGAGCTACAAAGACAAAAAGCTACAGAAGTCTACAAAGGTTTTCTTGAGTTGTGCCTTTGCTGAATTTTGAGTTACACGTGCATAAGGGTAAATCTCCAAGAATCTGGGCAAAGAACTACAAAGAAAGCATTAGGCTGAAAAATTCCTAGCTTAGAGTTCACACAGGTCTGGGATACATTCAAGTTATGACCAACTGAGATAGAGTGCTCATTGATTATCCAGGCCAGTAGAAGGGTCAGAATCTTAATAGTAGGGTTAACTGATTTTTGCTATAAAGGCTGTTCTAGAACCTCCCTAACAAAGCCCAAAGGATCAGGCTGATATACAAATAACTTAATTACCTGCTAGAACAAAGCCCATACTCTTTAAGAAAGACAACAAAATTCAGACCCTCAGTCTAACATTCACAGTGTTCGTCTAATAAAAACATTACTAGACAGTCAGGAAGCAGAAAATTTGACTGACAACCAGGAGAAAAATTAGTCAACTGAAAAAAGACTCAGTTGACCTCTGATAGAATAAGCAGGCAAGGATGTTAAGTGGGTACTATAACAATGTTCATATATTGAAAGGAAAACAATGAGATGAGAAATTGAAGATATAAAAAAGAACCAAGAGGAGCTTTTAGTGTTAAAACATTTCATATGAAAAATTCACTATAAAAAACTAACAGATTAGACATTGTGGAAAAAACAATTAGTGAACATAAATATGCAGCAGTAGAAAACATTTGTACTTTAAGAGTGAAATAAGATTGAAAAAACTGAAGGGAGCCTTGGTGACTTGTGGGACAGTGTTAAGAGAACTCTGTCAACATTTAAGAAAGAAATACCAGTAGTACACCGACTTTCAAATACAGAGGAGAAGGAAATGCTGTTCAACTCCTTTACTGATGCCAGCATAACCCTGATACTAAACTTTACAAGACATTACAAGGAAAAAAAATACAGACCAGTATTCCTCATAAAGATAGATGCAAAAATCCTTAAAATATGATCAAATTGAATCTAGCAATATATAAAAATGATAATACATTATAATCAAGTGAGTATTATTCCTTCCACAAATACTGGAATTCCAGGTTAGTTTTGATATTCAAAATCAATAGGTAAAGTTATTAGAACGTTAATTTGCAAAAATCACTTGCATTTTTGCTATCAAAATGGAGAATTGAAGTTTTTTTTAAAGTATCATTGATATACAATCTTACGTTAGTTTCAAATACACCACACAGTGATTCAACATTTACCCATATTACAAGTCCTCCCCCTCTCTAGTTCGGTCACTGTCCATCAATGTAGTGAGATGTTATGGAATCATTAACTGTAGGGAATGAAAATTTTAACAAATTCCATACATGATAATATCACAAAATATGTGTAAGACCTTTATACTGAAAACTTAAAATGTGACTGGCAGAAATTGAAGAAGACCTAAAGAAATGGTTCATGGATGGATGACTTGGTGTTAATATGCTAAATCTTCCTAAATTGATTTATAGATTTAATATAACCCTAATCACAACCCCAGCAAAAATAAATAAATAATAGAAATTGACAAACTGAATAAATTCTGAAGTTTATATGGAAATGCAAAGAACCTGGAATATTCAAAGCAAAGCAAAAAAAAAAATTGGAAGACTTCAAGCCTTATTATAAAGCTACAGTAATTAAGACAGTGCGGTATTGACACAAAGATTGACAGACCTATGGAGGAGAATAGAATCTAGCAACAGAATCACAGTTACATAGTTGATTTTTGACAAAGGCACCAAAGCAATTCAATGAAGAAAGGAAATTTTTTTCAATAAATGGTGCTGGGAAAATTGGATATCCATATGGAAAAAACAAAGGGCCTTGACCTTCACCTCACATAATATACAAATTTGTGGTGAGTTGTAGGCCCAAACATGAAAGTTGAAGCTATGAGTATTCTAGAAGAAAACCTAGGGAGAGTATCTTCTAGAATTTTGGGTAGGCAGAGATTTCTTAATCAGGATGTAGAAACAGAAACCATAAAAGAAAACAATTTACAAATTAAACTTCATCAAAATTAAAAACTTTAACTTATTAAAAGACACTATTAAGAAAATAATAGATTTTTTCTTAAAGCCACAGATTGGGAGAAAATATTCACAAATCATATAATCTGACAAAGGACTGGTGTCCAGAATAAATAAAGAACTTCTACAACTCATTAAAAAGAGTACCAATTTTTCTCTAAGTGACTAAAGATTTGAACAGACACCTCACAAATGGTGCCCAATGGACACATGAAAATGTGCTTAACACCATTAGTCATCAGGAAGTATGTTTTAAAATTCCAACAAGACATTTCTACACATTCACTAATGGCTAAAATTAACAATCCTGACAACCAAATGCTGAAGAAGATGACTTCTCAGACATGGCAGAAATTGAAGAAGACCTAAAGAAATGGTTCATGGATGGATGACTTGGTGTTAATATGCTAAATCTTCCTAAATTGATTTATAGATTTAATATAACCCTAATCACAACCCCAGCAAAAATAAATAAATAATAGAAATTGACAAACTGAATAAATTCTGAAGTTTATATGGAAATGCAAAGAACCTGGAATATTCAAAGCAAAGCAAAAAAAAAAATTGGAAGACTTCAAGCCTTATTATAAAGCTACAGTAATTAAGACAGTGCGGTATTGACACAAAGATTGACAGACCTATGGAGGAGAATAGAATCTAGCAACAGAATCACAGTTACATAGTTGATTTTTGACAAAGGCACCAAAGCAATTCAATGAAGAAAGGAAATTTTTTTCAATAAATGGTGCTGGGAAAATTGGATATCCATATGGAAAAAACAAAGGGCCTTGACCTTCACCTCACATAATATACAAATTTGTGGTGAGTTGTAGGCCCAAACATGAAAGTTGAAGCTATGAGTATTCTAGAAGAAAACCTAGGGAGAGTATCTTCTAGAATTTTGGGTAGGCAGAGATTTCTTAATCAGGATGTAGAAACAGAAACCATAAAAGAAAACAATTTACAAATTAAACTTCATCAAAATTAAAAACTTTAACTTATTAAAAGACACTATTAAGAAAATAATAGATTTTTTCTTAAAGCCACAGATTGGGAGAAAATATTCACAAATCATATAATCTGACAAAGGACTGGTGTCCAGAATAAATAAAGAACTTCTACAACTCATTAAAAAGAGTACCAATTTTTCTCTAAGTGACTAAAGATTTGAACAGACACCTCACAAATGGTGCCCAATGGACACATGAAAATGTGCTTAACACCATTAGTCATCAGGAAGTATGTTTTAAAATTCCAACAAGACATTTCTACACATTCACTAATGGCTAAAATTAACAATCCTGACAACCAAATGCTGAAGAAGATGACTTCTCAGACATTGCCGGTGAAGTGATAAATGTTAACAGCAACTTTTGAAAATGCTTATCAGTTTGATGAAATATACCTATTGCATGACTCAGCAATTCTATTCCTACGTATTTACCCAAGGGACATGGA